GTTGATGGTTGTACTGGAGTGTCTTAACTTTGTCATTCAGTCAGTCCAGTCATTCAGGAAGTCAGTCCAGTCATTCAGTAAGTCAGTCCAGTCATTCAGTAAGTCAGTCCAGTCATTCAGTAAGTCAGTCCAGTCATTCAGCAAGTCAGTCCAGTCATTCAGTAAGTCAGTCAATTTGTTCAGTAAGTCAATCAAGTCATTCAGGAAGTCAGTCAGTCACACAAGCTTATGTTTACCTTTTTTTATGTGTACAAAGTAACACTTCATTATGGCCACAGGATGTCTCGTCTAATATCTTTGTTTCCTTTGTTAATTCTTTGAGTAACACTGGTATGCTTACTGGGTGTTATGATTGCTTGATAGATACAGGATATAGCAAATAAAAGATGAAAACACAATTCGCATTCACAAGGTTGTAGCAGAGAAGTTGGACTGGACACTTACGAAGTACGAATGCTTTGATGGTGGGCTGGTGTCAGGGGGTGGCTGGGGACGGCAGGAGGTCTCCCCAAGCTGAACCACAACAAGGTGGCCGCTTGAGGAAAAGGGAAGTTTGGTTTTTACCTTCCCGCAAACTGAACCGTGTTAAATTCATCATACAATGTGTTACATAAAATTGTGCCACAATTCTTCAATCGTGCTATACTCAAATCGTGCCAAATAAACTCATGCTAAGTAACGGTCTACTGTACTTTCATCATTATTCAACACTTTCACCTCACTCATACACAATCACTGTTTTTGCAGAGGTGCCCACTTACAACAGTTTAACCCTTAAACGGTCCAAACGTATATATACGTTCACGCGCATAGCGCCACAAACGTATATGTACTTTTTCTTCTGTCATTCATTCAACATTGCCACAATAAGCCTGAGTCACCTAGACATGAGAGAATGGGTGTGTGCACTCACTGTGTTCCATATTAAAATAATTGGGGATGCCTGGGTACCGTATGCTCTTTTTTCCTTTTAAAAGAAAAGATTTCTTTTTTCCTCAAAAAATTTGGGGTGCTACGTGAGTGAATGTATATATACGTTTGGACCGTTTAAGGGTTAAAAGCATATACTACACCTACCATCCGACTTACGACCTGCTCAACTTACGACCACTCGACTTACGACCGTGTTTTTTATGCCAAATTTCTGGGAAATAAACAACTATTTGTGTTGTACACAGTGTTTATCCTAAACCTTACAGTATAAAATACAGTACTAACAGCATAAAAAGTAAAGTAAAACATGAAATACCAAAATAAAACAATAAAATAGTCATTACAAAAATGTTTTGTTGATATTCAGTAGTAAAGTTCGACTTAAGACCGGTTTCTTGGAACTGAACTCGGTCATAAGTCGGATGGTAGGTGTATAAAGATATACAACATATCCCTCCAAACTGCCAATATCCCAAACCCCTCCTGCAGACATTGTACTTCCCATTTCCAGTACTCAAGTCTGGCTATGTAAAAATAACTGGTTTCCCTGAATCCCTTCACTAAATATTACCCTGCTCACACTCCAACAGCTCGTCAGGTCCCAAAAACCATTCGTCTCCATTCACTCCTATCTAACATGCTCACGTACGCTTGCTGGAAGTCCAAGCCCCTCACCCACAAAACCTCCTTTACCCTCTCCCATCAACTTTTTCGAGGATGACCCCTACCCCGCCTTCCTTTCCCTACAGATTTATACACACTCCATGTCATTCTACTTTGATCCATTCTCTCTAAATGACCAAATCACCTCAAATATCCTTCTTCAGTCCTCTGACTAATACTTTTATTAACTCCACACCTTCTCCAAATTTCCACACTCCGAATTTTCTGCATAATATTTAAACCACATATTGCCCTTAGACAGGACATCTCCACTGCCTCCAACCTCCTCCTCACCGCAGCATTTACAAACCAAGCTTCACACCCATATAAGAGGGTTGGTACCACTAGACTTTCATACATTCCCTTCTTTGCCTCCACAGATAACACACCACGCACCTTTTTTCCTTCATAAATTCTATTGTTAACCTCATCCTTCATAAACCTATCCGCTGACATGCCAACTCCCCAATATCTGAAAACATTCACTTCTTCCATACTCCCTCTCTCCAATGTGATATCCAATTTTTCTTTATCTAAATCATTTGATACCCTCATCACCTTACTCTTATCTATGTTCACTTTCAACTTTGTACCTTCACACACCCTCCCAAACTCATCCACTAACCTTTTAGAATCTCCCATAAGCACAGTATCATCAAAAAGTAACTGTGTCAACTCCCAGTTTGTATTTCATTTCCCATAATTTAATCCCACCCCTCTCCCCAACACCCTAGTATTTACTTCTTTTATACAACCCCATCTATAAATATGTTAAACAACTGTGATGACTTTACACATCCCTGTCTTAGACCTACTTTTACTGGGAAGTAATCTCCCCGTCTTCTACACACCTAACGTGAGCCTCACTATCCTCATAAAAACTCTTTACAGCATTTAGTAACTTGCTACCTATTCCATATACTTGCAACATCTGCCACATTGCTCCCCTATCCACTTTATCATAAGCCTTTTCTAAATCCATAAATGCAATGAAAACTTACCTACCTTTATCCAAATACTGTTCACATATATGCTTCAATGTAAACACTTGATCTACACATCTCCTACCCACTCTAAACCCTCCTTACTCATCCGCAATCCTACTTTGTCATACCTCTAATTCTTTCAGTAACAACCCTACCGAACACTTTTCCTGGTATACTCAGTAAACTTATTCCCCTATAATTTTTACAATCTCTCTTGCCCCCTTCTTCTTTATGTAAAGGAACTATACATGCTCTCTGCCAATCCCTAGGTACCTTTCCCCCTTCCATACATTTATTAAACAATAATACCAACCACTCCAACACTATACCCCCCCCCCTTTTAACATTTCTGTCATGATCCCGTCAGTTCCTGCTGCTTTACCCCCTTTCGTTCTGCGTAATACCTCACGCACCTCCCCCACACTCACATTCTGCTGTTCTTCACTCCTAAAAGATGGTATACCTCCCTGGCCAGTGCATGAAAGGACCGCCTCCCTTTCATCATCAACATTTAAAAGTTCCTCAAAATATTCCTGCCATCTACCCAATACCTCCAACTCCCCATCTACTAACTTCCCTACTCTGTTTTTAACTGACAAATCCATTTGTTCCCTAGGCTTTCTTAACTTGTTTATCTCCAGATTTTTTTTTTTTTTCTTCTGCAAAATTTCTTGCCAGTGCCTCTCCCACTCTTTCATCTGCTCTTTTTTTGCACACACTCACCACTTTCATCACCTTTTACTTTCCATATACTCTGCTGTTCTTATAACACTTCTTTGTAAAAAGCTTTCATAAGCTAACTTTTTCTCTTTTATCACACCCTATACTTCATCATTCCACCAATCACTCCTCTTTCCACCTGCCCCCACCCTCCTATAACCACAAACTTCTGCCCCACATTGTAATACTGCATTTTTAAAACTATTCCAACCCTCTTCAACCCCCCCACTACTCATATTTGCACTAGCCTACCTTTCTGCCAACAGTTGCTTATGTCTCTTCCTAACTTCCTCCTCCCTTAGTTTGTGCACTATCACCTCTCTCTTGTTTCCATTTTCATTTCATCCCATCTGCCTCTTACTCTAACTGTAGCTACAACTAAATAATGGTCCGATATATCAGTTGCCCCTCAAACATGTACATCCTGAAGCCTACCCATCAGTCTTGTATCCACCAATACTTAATCTAACAAACTATTTTTGTTACGTGCGATATCATACCTTGTATACTTATTTATCCTCTTTTTCATAAAATGTGTATTACTTATTACCAAACCTCTTTCTACACATAGCTCAATTAAAGGCTCCCCATTTTCATTTACCCCTGGCACCCCAGATTTACCTACTACTCCCTCCACAGCATTTTTACCCACTTTAGCATTGAAATCCCCAACCACAAGTACTCTAACACTTGGTTCAAAACTCCCCATGCACTCGCTCAACATTTCCCAAAATCTCTCTCTCTCCCCCCTACACTTCTCTCTTCTCCAGGTGCATAAATGCTTACTATAACCCACTTTTCACATCCAACCCTTATTTTACTCCACATAATCCTTGTATTTATATATTTATATTCCCTCTTTTCCTGCCATAACTTATCCTTCAACATTAGTATGATAATGTGTTATCTTCATTATAGAATAATAAGAAAATATTATAACCTTTATATTATACTAATAAGGTAAAATGACCCCAATGGAAATAAGTCACTCTGTCTGACTTTTTTGGGTTATCCCAGGTTCTCTACACATATGCTGCTATGTATGATAATTCTATGTAACTGTATTTGTGTGTACCTGAATAAACTTACTTGCTTGCTTGCTTGCTTACTTATTGCTACTCCTTCTTTAGCTGTAACTGTTTGAAACCCCTGACCTAATCCCATTTATTTCTCCTCACTGAAACTCTCCCACCCCCTTCAGCTTTGTTTCACTTAAAGCCAGGACATCCAGCTCCTTCTCATTCATAGCATCCACAATCATCTCTTTCTTTTCATTCGCACAACATCCACGCACATTCAGACATCCCACTTCGATGGTTTTATTCTTTTTCTTTTTAGTAGGCTATACAGGAAAAAGGGTTACTAGCCCATTTTTCCCGGCATTTTAGTCGACTTTTACAACACGCATGGCCTGTGGAGGAAAGATTCTTATTCCACTTCCCCATGGATATAAAAGGAAAGAAATAAGAACAAGCACTATTAAGTTAAAATCAAAGAAAACTCAGATGAGTGTATGTACATTTTATACAATATATTTAATAATGAAATTATTATAATCTTGAATAAAAATGGAGATTGACACTTTTGAAGTTATTTAGACTTACAGTATTTTATTTGGAAATTGCAATTAATGATCATTGCCTGATGATAAATGTGCAAGTGTGTGGTATGTACAGCATATGAGTATTTTATTTACAGGTAAAATGAAGGACTATGTTAAGTGCCTACAGTGTGGCACTGAGGGCGCCAGAGAAGACACCTACTTAGATATTCCTCTTCCTATTAGACCATTCGGCTCCAGTTCAGCATACAAGTGTGTGGTAAGTTAGTATCTGCAACAATCATTGACCAAGTGTGTATTTAATCTTAAAACTTTGTATTATTGCGTCCAGTGCTATTGCCAACAAGTACAGGATCATTTCACTAAACTTGAAGTTTTACTTAAAAAAAAAAAAAAGTAAAAAAACTGAGTATATTAGTATTTTCTTCTTGGGGATTTTCTTTATTTTTGGGTTACCCTGCTTCGGTGGGAGACAGCCAACTTGTTGAAAAAAAAATAGTGAACAAGCACGAATCAGGTTTAAATTTAATAACTGCAGGATTAATGAACAACTCAAAACTTTAATGAACAAGCATTTACCAATTTTGACCTTGGGTTTTCTCCGGTTCCATTTAACCCCTAAATGGCCCAAACGTAAATGTTCTTGCCGCTAGCACCCCAAACGTGTATACGTATATATGTTTTATTTTTCCTGCCTCCAAATTTGGCACGATTGGCCTGAGATGCCTGGTCAGCAGAGAATGGGTCTTAACACTCAGTGTGCACCATATTAAAAAAAAATCTGGGACTACTTAGTACCTTGTGGGAGCGCCAGTTAAATTGAGTGCCAGCTCAAGCAAACAGTGTGGCAAGCACCAAGGATTCACTGATGTAATGTCACATTAACACTCCCCTTTTAAGAGGAAAGTGATGTTAACCCTGAGTTTAGGATTGAGACACTTATGCAACATATGCGAATCTTTATTTAGGAAACGTTTGGCCACACAGTGGCTTCATTAGTCCAATACAAAGCAGAAAGGTGTAAGGAGAGGAGGAGTTTGAGGTAATCAGTCCCTCAACCTGGAGTTTTGAACCAAGTGTGAGAGTAATGGTGGTTGGGGATTTCAATGCTAAAGTGGGCAAAAATGTTGTGGAGGGAGTAGTTGGTAAATTTGGGGTTCCAGGGGTAAATGAAAATGGGGAGCCTTTAATTGAGCTATGTGTAGAAAGAGGTTTGGTAGTAAGTAATACATATTTTATGAAGAAGAGGATAAATATACAAAGTATGATATAGCACGTAATGAAGGTAGTTAGATTATGTATTGGTGCATAAAAGGTTGATGGGTAGGCTCCAGGATGTACACATAGAGGGGCAACTGATATATCGAATCATTATTTAGTTGTAGCTACAGTTAAGAGTAAGAGGTAGATGGGAAAAGAGGAAAAATGGCAACAACAAGCAAGAGGGAGGTAAAAGTGTATAAATTAAGGGAGGAGGAAGTTCGGGTGAGATATAAGCAACTATTGGCAGAAAGGTGGGCTGGTGCAAGTATGAGTAGTGGGGGGATTGAAGAGGGTTGGAGTAGTTTTAAAAATGCAGTAGTAGAATGTGGGACAGAAATTTGTGGCTATACGAGGGTGGGTGCAGGAGGAGAGAGGAGTGACTGGTGGAATGATGAAGTAAGGGGTGTGATAAAAGAGAAAAAGTTGGCTTATGAGAGGTTTTTACAAAGCAGATGCATTATAAGAAGAGTAGAGTATATGGAGAGTAAAAGAAAGGTAAAGAGAGTGGTGAGAGAGTGCAAAAGGAGAGCAGATGATAGAGTGGGAGAGGCACTGTCAAGAAATTTTAATGAAAATAAGAAAAAATTTTGGAGTGAGTTAAACAAGTTTAGAAAGCCTAGGGAACAAATGGATTTGTTAGTTAAAAGCAGAGTAGGGGAGTTGGTAGATAGGGAGATGGAGGTTTTGGGTAGATGGCGAGAATATTTTGAGGAACTTTTAAATGTCGACAAAGAAAGGGAAGCGGTAATTTCATGCACTGGCCAGGGAAGTATACCATCTTTTAGGAGTGAAGAAGAACAGGATGTGAGTGTGGAGGAGGTGTGTGAGGCATTACATAGAATGAAAGGGGGTAAAGCAGCTGGAACTGACGGGATCATGACAGAAATGTTTAAAGCAGGGGGGGATATAGTGTTGGAGTTGTTGGTATTTTTGTTTAATAAATGAATGAGAGAAAGGAAGGTACCTAGGGATTGGTGGAGAGCATGTATAGTCCCTTTATATAAAGGGAAGGGAGACAAAAGAGATTGTAAAAATTATAGGGGAATAAGTTTACTGAGTATACCAGGAAAAGTGTATGGTAGGGTTATAATTGAAAGAATTAGTGGTAAGACAGAATGTAGGATTGCGGATGAGCAAGGAGGTTTCAGAGTGGGTAGGGGATGTGTAGATGAAGTGTTTACATTAAAGCATATATCTGAACAGTATTTAGATAACGGTAGGAAGGTTTTATTGCATTTATGGATTTAGAAAAGGCATATGATAGTGGATAGGGGAGTAATGTGGCAGATGTTGCAAGTATATGGAATAGGTGGTAAGTTACTAAATGCTGTAAAGAGTTTTTATGAGGATAGTGAGGCTCAGGTTAGGGTGTGTAGAAGAGAGGGAGACTACTACTTGGTAAAAGTAGGTCTTAGACAGGGATGTGTAATGTCACCATGGTTGTTTAATATATTTATAGATGGGGTTGTAAAGGAAGTAAATGCTAGGGTGTTCGGGAGAGTGGTGGGATTAAATTTTGGGGAATCAAATACAAAATGGGAATTGACACAGTTACTTTTTGCTGATGATACTGTGCTTATGGGAGATTCTAAAGAAAAATTGCAAAGGTTAATGGATGAGTTTAGGAGTGTGTGTAAAGGTAGAAAGTTGAAAGTGAACATAAAAAAGAGTAAGGTGGTGAGGGTATCAAATGATTTAGATAAAGAAAAATTGGATGTCAACTTAGGAGGAGTATAGAAGAAGTGAATGTTTTCAGATACTTGGGAGTTGACATGTTGGCGGATGGATTTATGAAGGATGAGATTAATCATAGAATTGATGAGGGAAAAAAGGTAGAGTGGTGCATTGAGGTATATGTGGAGACAAAAAAATGTTATCTATGGAGGCAAAGAAGGGAATGTATTAAAGTATAGTAGTACCAACACACTTATATGGGTGTGAAGCTTGGGTTGTGAATGCAGGAGCGAGGAGGCAGTGGAGATGTCCTGTCTAAGGGCAATGTGTGGTGTAAATATTATGCAGAAAATTCGGAGTGTGGAAATTAGGAGAAGGTGTAGAGTTAATAAAAGTATTAGTCAGAGGGCTGAAGAGGGGTTGTTGAGGTGGTTTGGTCATTTAGAGAATGGATCAAAGTAGAATGACATGGAGAGGGTATAAATCTGTAGAGGAAGGAAGGCAGGGTAGGGGTCGTCCTCAAAAAGGTTGGAAGGAAGGGGTCAGGGAGGTTTTGTGTGCGAGGGGCGTGGACTTCCAGCAGGCGTGCATGAGCGTGTTCGATAGGAGTAAATGGAGACAAATGGTATTTGGGACCTGACGATCTGTTGGAGTGTGAGCAGGGTAATATTTAGTGAAGGGATTCAGGGAAACCGGTTATTTTTATATAGCTGGACTTGAGTCCTGGAAATGGGAAATACAGTGCCTGCACTCGAAAGGAGGGGCTCAGGATGTTAGCAGTTTGGAGGGATATGTTGTGTATCTTTTTACGTATATGCTTCTAAACTGTTATGTTCTGAGCACCTCTGTAAAAACAGTGATTATGTGTGTGAGGTGAAAGTGTTGAATAATGATGAAAGTATTTTTGGGGATTTTCTTTCGTTTTGGGTCACCCTGCCTCGGTGGGAGACGGCCGACTTGTTAAAAAAAAAAAACGGCAACACTCCTCAAGCAGCAGGACTTGATGTTGCTGTCAGGTGAGCATTAAGTGCCAACTTTGCAGCCTCATATTTCAGTAAGTACTGACCCTAATTTTTTTATTTTAATCCTATTACATTTAGAATTTGTTTTCTCTGTATTTCAGTGAAAAAAAAAAAATTATTTTTCAAAATATTTGGGGCACTGAGGGAGAGAACGTATTTATACGTTTGGACCGTTTAAGGGTTAAGCCTTTCTGCCATTCAGGAAACTAATTTCTGTCATTGTTCAGAGTGGTTCCTGAATGTTGGGAATTACCTTCAGCTTTATTTTGGTTAAGTTGTGATTATTGAAGTACTCGTAGATAAATTTGTAATGGAATGTCTTTTTACCTTATTACCTGTTATTTGTTATGTGCTACACAACCATTATACAGGTCTCCCTCAACATTCGCGTTTTCAACTTTCGCGGGCTTCACACATTCGCGAATTCCCAACCACCAAATTCCCAACTGCCAAATTCCCTGCTGCCAAATCATATTTAAGTTTCCTGCCACCCGCGAGTCCCTACTACCCTCCCTCCGACCTCAATAACTGGCAGCCAGCCCTCTCACCACTCAGTGTGGTGAGTGTTTTGTTTGTTCATTATTTGCTATTAAACTACAGTATAAATAATGTCAACCCATTCATGACTGAATATTGGAATGGCTATTCGGACAGGTATTGGACGGTGACATCATATGTTTACTCTTAAACACTGCAAAGAATCAAACGTTTCTGCTACTGCTAATAATAATAATAATAATATGATAGAATTAAAGGAAATTGTACAAAAATACGAGGGTTGAAGCAGTGGTGGATGAAGAGGTTGACGCATCGTCAGTCAGTGTGCCTTTGTTTATGCTGGGGTGAGCATTAGTCTCCACACTTTCAAACATTTCACAATAATTCATTGTGTTTGGTGCTTGTAGATTGAGTGCGACTGCCACATAATTAACCATGGGCCCAAAGAAACTTGCTAGTGCCAGCCCTTTGGTAAAGAAATTGAGGAACAATAGAATTGAAGACAGAAATTGTACCAAAATACGAGCAGTGTGCCGCAGTGGTTGAGGCAGTAGTGGAGGCAGTGGTTGAGGTAGTGATATATAATAACATACGTGTTATTAAACCATAACATGTATGTATTTGGTACAATATTTTACGACATTTTCATGTATTTTATGACTGCTCACGGTTCAACAAGTTAAGGAAGCATTATTGTATTTTATTTCCCTACAATGTATTGGGGCACCAAACATTCACGATTTTTCAACATTAGCTAGGCTCTTGATCCCCTAACCCTCGCGAATGTTGAGGGAGACCTGTAAATCTTATTATTTGGCTACCTCACTGTAGTAATAAGGTAAAATAATGAATAATTAAAATTCGCCACTCTTTAACCTGTCTAGTTTCAAATAAGCTGTAAGTATTAGGATTAGTCTTTCTTTGTACTTAACAACACTTTATAAAATGTAATCACATCTTGTAACCTTTGCAAAGAAATAATTCTTTTTTTTTTTTTTATTTAGCTTTTTTGTGTGGTTGTGTTGTGTGTTTGTTTTTGCTTGACTCCGTCATTTGCTTTCCATCTGCCTCTTTAGAAGGGCACAGAATTCATGATCCTTTGATACTGTGAACCACATTTATATTTGTATTTTATCGTTAGTTAGACTCGAGCAGTATTTTCCCATGCTTTGAAAAAACTGTTTTTTTTTTTCTCTCGGGTAAAATTGTGTTCTGGAGACCCTGGTGTTTGAGTTGGACCCCTCATCTGATAAAACAGATAGTGAAATTTGACGAAATACATAGGAGGGCATCAAGACTAAATTGAGTAGAAAGAGCTGCAAAGAAAGAATACAAGAACTAGGTTAAAGATCTTGAAAAATGAGGTATAATATATAATACAATCATGACAAAATAATACCGGGGCACAGGCTGAGCTGACTATGATAGGCTCTATATCAGTAATGTAGCAAGAATAGGAGGGCATGGTTGGAAAAAATGCCTAAATAAGCCACAAGGTTTTCAGGGCTATCTTCAAGAAAAAGGTGGTAAAGAAGCTGAGCAAAGACTCGCTGGTAGCTGACTCAATAAAAGAGTTGTGAAGTGTGTCAGGGCTAATTCATATCATTTGTAAGTTAAGAGAGGGGCAAACACCAAGAGTTTATTCACTATAGAATCAAATTTATGCTTTTTAATCTTTGGAAAAAATATTGTAATCATTCTGGTTTGTATTGAATGTGATTTTTCAGAGAACAATTAGGTATATAAATCAAGGGCTCTAAGTAACGAGTGCTGTAATTTATCAATCAAGTGTTGCACTGGTCTATAAAATTGCATTTAATAATATATGTAATCTAATTCCTATCTGATTCCAACAGGAAGAAGCTCTAAGGGCTTTTGTGGAGCCTGAGTTGCTCACAGGGAATAACAAATACAAATGCTCAAAGTGTGATTCTCTGTGTGATGCTCACAAAGGTCTCAAGTTTACCCGCTTCCCGTACCTGCTTACTATACACCTCATGCGGTTTGACTTCGACTACCAGACATTGCATAGAATAAAGCTCAATGATAAGTAAGAATCAGTCTAGCAGTGGCCTCTTGGTGTGTACTTTAAAGTTTGACCATTATAAAGTTTTTTTTTTTGGCAGAAAACTACATTTGTTGAATAACAAAGCAAAACATAATTTCTGAAAAATAAAGTATGCACTGTACCAGAAAATTTTCTTCAAATACCAGTCATAGGTTGCATTATTAATTTATTATACAGGTACCATCTGACTTACGAACTGCGCAACATACGACCACTCAACTTACAACCGTGCATCTGGCAGTAGTATAATGTGATCCTTTATTGACAACGTTTCATCCACACAAGTAGAGGTGGTAGTAGTAGTTATACATGTAGTGGAAAAGTCAGCTGGTACATGAGAAAGAAAGGTTACATAAGAAAGGAGAAACACTGCAGCAGGCCTTTGGCCCATACTAGGCAGATCCTTTACAATCCATCCCACTAACAAAACATTTGCCCAACCCAATTTTCAATGCCATCCAAGAGATAAGCTCTGATATAACTATCCACTCTCATATGCAAGTCGCATTCAAATCCAACCCCTCTCACTCATGTATTTATTCAACCTATATTTGAAACTACCCAAGGTTTTAGCCTCAGTAACCCAACTAGGTAGACTGTTCCACTCATCAACTACCCTATTTCCAAACCAATACTTTCCTATGTTCTTTCTAAATCTAAACTTGTCTAATTTGAATTCATTACTGCGGGTTCTCTCCTGGAGGGATATCCTCAAGACTTTTTTTTTTTTTTTTTTTTTTTTTTTTTCCAACAAACCGGCCGTATCCCACCAAGGCAGGGTGGCCCAAAAAAGAAAAACGAAAGTTTCTCTTTTTAAATTTAGTAATTTATACAGGAGAAGGGGTTACTAGTCCCTTGCTCCTGGCATTTTAGTCGTCTCTTACAACACGCATGGCTTACAGAGGAAGAATTCTGTTCCACTTCCCCATGGAGATAAGAGGAAATAAACAAGAAGAAGAACTAGAAAGAAAATAGAAGAAAACCCAGATGGGTGTGTATATATATATGCTTCTACATGTATGTGTAGTGTGACCTAAGTGTAAGTAGAAGTAGCAAGACGTACCTGAAATCTTGCATGTTTATGAGAGAAAAAAAGGACACCAGCAATCCTACCATCACGTAAAACAATTATAGGCTTCTGTTTTACACTCACTTGGCCGGACGGTAGTACCTCCCTGGGCGGTTGCTGTCTACCAACCTACTACCTAGAAGACCTTATTTATATCCCCTTTATTAATACCCATCTTCCACTTATACACTTCGATCATGTCTCCCCTCATTCTTCATCTAACAAGTGAATGTAATTTAAGGGTCTTCAATCTTTCTTCATAAGGAACATTTCTAATGTTATGTATAATTTTAGTCATTCTATGCTGAATGTTTTCTAACGAATTTATGTCCATTCTGTAATATGGAGACCAGAACTGAGCTGCATAATCTAGATGAGGCCTTACTAATGATGTATAAAGCTGAAGTATAACCGCTGGACTTCTGTTGCTTACACTTCTTGATATAAATCCCAGCAATCTACGTGTATTTGCCTTATTACGCACACTTAGGCACTGCTGTCTTGGTTTAAGATTGCTGCTTACCATAACCCCCTATAACCCCCAAATCCTTTTCACATTCTACATGGCTAAGTTCAGCATTATTAAGATGGTAGGTGCTAGGGTTATGGACATTTCTGAGCTTTAGAACTTTACATTTATCTACATTGAACTGCATCTGCCACTTTTCTGACCACAAATTCAGTTTGTCTAAATCCTCCTGAAGTTGTAAGACATCGTCTGAATCGATTATCCTACCTATCTTCGTGTCATCAGCAAATTTGCTTATGTCACTAGTAATTCCCTTGTCAAGGTCGTTTATGTATACTGTATTATAAACAACAATGGGCCTAAAACTGATCCCTGCGGAATGCCATTTGTTACAGATCCCCACTCAGATTTAACCCCATTTATGCACACTGCTTCCTATTAGTGAGCCATGACTCAATCCATGACAGCATTTTTTCCCCAATGCCATGAGCAGCCACTTTCTTCAACAGTCTCTGATGTGATACTCTATCAAAAGCCTTACTAAAATCTAAATAAACAATATCGAATTCTTTATCCTGATCAACGGCCTCAAAAGCTCTGCCGAATAAGGTTAATAAATTAGTTTGGCAGGAACGGCCCCTGGTGAAACCATGTTGAGTATCATTAATCAAATTATGCCTATCGAGATGGCTTCTTATATTATCAGATATAATTAACTAGTAATTTGCCTACAATTGAGGTTAGGCTTATTGGGTGGTAATTTGACGGTAACGACTTGTCCCCTGCTTTAAAAATAGGAATTACATTAGCCATCTTCCACATACCAGGCACTACACCTGTTTGAAGAGATAAATTAAAAATATTAGTTAAAGGTTCACAGAGTTCCATTTTACACTCTTTATGAACCCTTGAAAAAAGTTCATCAGGGCCTGGGGATTTATTTTGCTTTAACCGGTCTGTCTGTTTGATAACCATTTCGCTAGTGACTGTGATATTGCATAATTTATCATCTTCAAGCCCACTATAAAAATTAATTACTGGGATATTGTCAGTGTCTTCCTGAGTGAAAACCGAGAGAAAATAATTATTAAAAATAGAGCAGATTTCATTCTCCTTGTCAGTGAGATGCCCAGAGTTATTTTTAAGGGGACCTATCTTATCTCTAACTTTTGTTCTATAAACCTGGAAAAAACTTTTTGGGTTAGTTTTTGAATCCCTAGCAACTTCAATTTCATAGTCCCGTTTAGCTTTTCTTATCCCCTTTGTAACGTCCCTCTTAATGTCAATATACTGATTCATAAGATGACCCTCACCTCTTTTGATATGCCTATAAATTCCTTTCTTCTGTCCTAAAAGATATTTGTGTCTATTATTCATCCATTTTGGGTAATTTCTATTCGATCTAATTTCCTTATATGGGATGAATGTCAATTGGGCAGCATATATTGTGTTAAAGCTGTCATACTGATAGCCATCTTCGTTACTCCAGTCCACAGATGATAAGTGTTCTCTAGGCCCATTGTAATCTGCTAAGTGAAAATCTGGGACCATTACTGAATTATCCCTACTATCATACTTCCATTCAATGCTAAAGGTAATTGACTTGTGATTGCTTGTTCCGAGTTCCTCTGTAATTTCCAAATTATTGACAAGGGTTTCCTTGTTTGCCAGAACCAAATCAAGCAGGTTTTTTACCCTTGTAGGCTCCATCACAAACTGCTTCAAAAAACAATCCTGAACTACTAAAAAATCGTTAGATTCTAAATTCCCAGTCATGAAATTCCAGTCAGTCTGACCAAAGTTGAAGTCCCCTAGAATTACTACGTTATCTTGCCTTGTGGCCTTAACAATTTCCTCCCATAGTAGTCTCCCTTGGTCCCTATTTAAGTTTGGAGGACAGTTTATCACACTTAAAATCAGTTTTTCATGTCGCTCTGAAAATTCTATCCAAACAGACTCTGTATGTGTTATTTCAGATTTTATGCCCTGTTTTATGCAACAGTTCAAGCGATCCCGGACATACAATGCCACCCCACCCCCCTTCCCGATACTTCTATCCACTTGGAACAATTTAAAACCCTGAATGTGACATTCTGCAGGCATGTCCCGACTTTTTGAATTAAACCATGTCTCGGTTATGGCAAATACATCAATGTTACCTGCACTAGCAACTAATCTCAACTTGTCCATCTTATTCCTAGCACTATGGCTATTTGCATAATATACATTGAAAGGCCCTCCTTTCTCTTTACCCTTCCTGCTCATTTCTGTTTTTCTATTAAACCTATTACTGTCCTTGTCACCTAGTGTCATTGGCTTTTTAATATCTACCTCGTGCTGCTTATTGCTAGTTCCCCTAGAACTCATAATATTACTACACTGGGGCTTCACTGTTTTCCCGCCAAAACCCATACCACTAACTATTCTTAGTTTAACCCTTAAATGGTCTAAACGTATATATACGTTTTTTCAACATCTGAAAGTATGTAAAAAAATGTAGATCTTTTTTGTATTACATTTGAAAACGTGTAAAAAAAACTTATTTACATTTTTTTTGTTATATTTGAAAATATGTAAAAAAAAGAAGTAGATCTACTTTTGTGGCACTACGAATTTGAACGTCAATCTCTTTGGACCGTTTAAGGGTTAAAGTCCTAACAGCTCCTTCCACTGCAGTTGCCAGTGCCCCCACCCCAGACCTAGATATGTGTACCCCATCCCTGGCATACATGTTATTTCTGCCATAGAAGAGGTCCCAGGTGTCAATGAATGTTACCGCATTTTCCTTGCAGTATTTGTCCAGCCAGCAATTGACACCAATTGCCCTGGACAACCATTCGTTTCCAACTCCTCTCCTTGGCAAAATACCACATATGACAGGGTTCCCACCCTTCCCCCAAATTATCTCTATTGCTCACCTATAACATAACATAAGAATGTAGGAACACTGCAGAAGGCCTACTGGCCCATGCGAGGCAGGTCCTTATCAAAATGACCTCTACCTAAAGCTACCCAAGTAATAACTCCCATACCCAATGTCACCAATCAAACCCAGCCCCTCCCACTCATATATTTGTCCAGTCTCTTCTTAAAGCTACCTAAGGTCCTAGCCTCTATCACCCCACTGGGAAGACTGTTCCACACATCTACAACTCTGTTAGAAAACCAGTACTTACCTATGTCCTTTCTAAATCTAAATTTATCCAACTTAAATCTATTATTTCTGGTTCTTACCTGGTTCGACACCCTCAGTATTTTATTAATATCTCCCTTGTTTATGCCCGTCATCCACTTATACACTTCAATGATATCTCCCCTCATTCTACGCCTCTCCAGAGAGTGGAGATTTAAGGCTTTAAGTCTATCTTCATACGGGAGGTTCCTTACACAGTAAATAATTTTAGTCATTCTTCTCTGTATGTTCTCTAATGAGTCTATATCCAC